AGGTGGATCGTAGCTGGGGGTCAGGCTTGGGGTGTGACCAGCGCCCCCGCCCCGCCCGTCCAGCGCTGCCGCGAACTGCGGAACTTCTCCTCCCTGCGCGCCATACTGTCAGCCCTGCAGTCTAACCCCATCTACCGCCTCAAGCGGAGCTGGGGCGCCGTTAGCCGGTGAGGACGGGAGAAGGAGGGAAGGAGGGTTGGTGACGCTGGGGCGGGCCCTCCTCCTCCCCAGCGTCGCTCTGACCTTCCCAGGCGCTGATCCGTGACCCCTCTCTTGCCCCCGCCCCAGGGAACGGTTATCCACTTTCAGAAAACTCTCGCAGATTTTCTCCGATGAGAACAACCACCTCAGCAGTAGAGAGGTTCTTTCCCAGGTAAAGATGGGTGTGGACCCCGAGGGTCCCCGGCCCAAAAAAAGGGACCTGGGGCCGGGCAGGGCATGGCTTGTCATTGTCATAACATTCAGTGTCTTTCCAACACACCTCAGCAATGACCTTCCCCCCCGTGTTAGCGGACAGCCCCAGGGCTTTACTGCCTCGGCCGCCCTCCTTACAGCTCACACGCAGTGACTGCCTTGTTTATTCATTCAACAAATACCAGAAGTTACATGGAGAAGGTCGCTTGGGGCCAGAGTCCTAGCAAAGAGTAAAAAAAATAAAATTGTGCTAGGACTTGACTTTGATAAGCAAAACTAAAACTTACGTGCCCGCAAGGCAGACGAGGTGTAGGCCAGATTTAGGTTTTAACTGCAGCTGGGTGCTGGTTCTTAGGGTGAATCCAGACTAGATGGAATGTGAAGCCTGTTCCTTCGGCCCAGAACATTCTTCACATTCACCTTCTTCAGGTCTCGCTTCGCTTGCTGCCTTATCGCCCTTATCTCTGCCTGGTACATGTGCAGCTTGGTTATTGCTGCCTCTCCCTGGCTAATGTCTGCTCTGCGAAGCCAGGATTTTCTGGTCTCTTTGGCTCACCGCTCCCTCCCTAGCACTCAGAACAGAGCCTGGCCCAGAGTAGCTGCTCAATAAATATCTGTGAGTGAATGCATGTCTCGAATAAGGATAAGAGGTCAAGGAGCAGGGAGCTCTGAATTCAGCGCCTACCGTGCGGCGGGCACTGTGCCAGGAGACTCCTACCATGAGCCAGACAGACGAGGTTCCTGCCCTGGTGGGGGGGCGGATATCAGGCCTTATATAGGGAGACACACAACGCAATAATAACGGCCTAGCGATGATATAATGAATTACCAGATAGAGCGATGCTGTGAAGGCAAGGTTCAGGGCATGGATAGCAGGCCTGTGCCATTCAGGCCGGGACAAGCCTTCTCGCCCGGGTTGAGGCCAGCCCTGGAGGAGGCTGCTAATCGGCTCGCTTCCCTTGTTCGGTTTTCCCTGGGTTTGGTTTTTACAACTGGCTGGTGGCCGCTGAAGGCAAACAGGTGTAGGCGGTGGGTCTTGAGGCATGTTTCCTGAGAAAAAGGGTCAGAGAGACCCCAGGACTGCTCAGTTCTTCCCTTCCCCCAGGAGGAGGCCACCGAGGGCCCCCAAGAGGAGGACCCCCTCCCAGGAAGCCCGCCCCCAGTGAGTGAGGTGGTTTGGGATGGGGGGACGAGCAGAATCTTCACGGAATGGGGTGCTACGTGATGGGGTCAGTGACGGCTGAGAGTGACTGGAGTTCTGGGGCCACAGAAACTGCCCCCAGGCCCTGTCCCTTACCTTGGCACCTTTCTCACGGACCTGGTTATGCTGGACACAGCCCTGCCGGACATGCTGGAGGTCTGACCCCTGACCCTTGACTCCTGACCCCAGCACCACTTCCCCTCAGCACAGTGGGCCTCCTGACATCCTCCCCTTGACCCTGCCCGCACTCCCTACCCCAGCCCCCTTAGCGCAGTGGGGCTCCTGACATCCCAGCCCCTGACCTTGACCCTCAGTCCTCGATTCTGGAGGCTCCAGTTCAGACAAAGTTTGTCCCCAGGGGGATCTCATCAACTTTGAGAAGAGGAGGAAGGTGAGTGGCACTGGGTGGGCATGGGGGGGACGGGGTGGGGGCAGGGCCAGGGCAGGTTCTCAGAGGCCCCGCCCCCTCAGGAGTGGGAGATCCTGGCCCACATCCAGCAGCTGCAGAAGCGCTGTCGGAACTACTGCCTGAGTCCCCGCCCACCCATCCTGGTGGCCCTGCGTGCCCAGCGCCAGCTCAGCGAGGAGCAGAGGTGACTCAGTCCAGCCACCATCCCCCCGCGATGGCACACACGTATCGCTCCACCTCCTCAGACACCCTCCTGAGCCCCGACCCCCAACCTATGACCTTGCATTTTCCCCAGTCCACCGAGGGTCCCAGTTCACCTCAGATTTTGACCCCATCTGACTCTCTGACTTCAGCCTTTAATGGACAGCTGGCCATTCCAGTCACCTGTCCCATCTGCTTGCCTCCCCACCTTCTGACCCTATCTGACCTGTGACCCCATTTGTAACCCCAGTCTGGATCTCTGAGCCCAGTCATTGACCCCCGGTTCTGAATAACTGACTCCAACTTTGATGTGCATCTGACCATCCAACTCAACTCTCCCAACCGTTTCTTTTCATTCTGTTGAATCCATTGCCCCAGTCATTGACCCCAATGATCACTCGACCTGGAACTCTATCTTTGACCCAATTTTACTCCTCAATCCCACGCAGCCAATCCCCACATGACCTGCCAACCAAGCCATCCCTTCTCATAACTAATAAGACCCCGGTGGCCTAATAGCCCGCCATTTACTACCCTGACATTGACACTTGGTGCCCAACTCCTGCCGTACCCCCTCCCATGCCCCCAAAATGCGGCTCTTCACTGATTCTAGCCAAGCTTTCAGCTCATTCCCTGCTGCTTCCTGGCCCCACCCCACCCCATGTGCACCTTGACTCCTCAGCTACCATGTCTCCCGTGTCATTGAGCCGCCAGCTGCCTCCTGCCCCAGCTCCCCACGCATCCGACGGCGCCTCAGCCTCACCAAGCGCCTCAGTGCGTGAGTCTCGGGGTGTGCATGGGGACAGGGGTGGGCAGAGACGGGAGAGTGCTCCTGGGCCAGAGACTGATCTCCTTCTCATCCCTCGTCTCTATCTTTAGGAAGCTGTCCCGAGAGAAGGGCTCATCCCCTGGTGGGAGTCCTGGGGACCCCTCGTCCCCCACCTCCAGGTGAGTATTCCAGTTAGTGAAAGGAGTGGAGATGGCAGGGTCAGAGGTCAGGGCAGCCGCTTGACCTCAGGCTCTGTATCTCCCTCAGTCTTTCCCCAGGGTCCCCACCATCTAGTCCTAGAACCAGAGACCCTCCTCCTGGCAGTCCCCCGGCCTCTCCAGGGCCCCAGAGCCCCACCACCAAGGTACCGAGACTGCCTGTGTGCGTGTAGGACTGTGGGCACCCAGGGCCGTGTGTGTGTGTGTGTGTGTGTGTGTGTGTGTGTGTATGTGTGTGTGTGTGTGTGCGTGCATGTGCGTGTGTGGTTTCATGACCAGGCATGTACATAAGAGACTGTACACGTGCTTGGCTGAGCACCCTGGGTGTCTGTCCAGGAGACCCCGTGCATCTCCATGGCCCTGTTTGAGGGATTCTCCCTCAGTCTGGCTTGTGCTCGGACCTGGACCCATGAGTCAGCTTGCCCACAGTGCCCACAGCTTGCACTTTTGGGTGTGATCACACCTTTGCAAGGATATGTGTGTCCCCAGGAATGCGCATACCTAGAGTGGAAACATGGGCATGAATATCCCCAGTATCCACGGGCCCGTGAACGGGACTGTTGATGGACTTGTGGATGTACAACAATCATAAGCGTATGTGTGTGTTTGCTGCTGTCCGTGTACATAGGATTTCTCATGTGTCTATTGGCCATGTGTAAGTTTGTCTTTGTAACAGGGCACGAAGGTCTGTATGTGATGGGATGGTGTAGATGTGGGCTCGTGAGTGCACCCTGATTGCCCGTCCCCAGGCTCCAGTTGTGTAGCGGGATGTATAAGGCTCCCACCACTCAGCCCCCACCCCCACTGCCTACAGCTGCCCCTGAGCCCGGACCTGGCAGGCCCCCGGCCCTTGGCTTTGCCTCTGAGCGGCTCTCACATCTCCTTACCGGGGCAGCAGGGATCAGAGGCTCGAGTCATCCGCGTCAGCATTGACAATGACCACGGGAACCTGTATCGGAGCATCTTGGTGAGCGGTTGAGCTGGGAACCTGCCGGGGCAGCCCTGCCCTTGGAACTTGGCGGTCACACCTCACCACCCACCTTCTCTTCCCAGCTCACCAGCCAGGACAAGGCCCCCAGCGTGGTGCAGCGAGCCCTGCAAAAGCACAATGTGGCCGAGCCCTGGGCCCGTGACTACCAGCTTTTCCAAGTCCTTCCGGGGGACAGGGGTGAGTAGGGACTGCTTGGAGGCTGGACTGGGGATTAGCTAGGAGGGCAGCAGGTTGACGAGGGTCAAGACTGGCCTTAACAGGGCCATGAGGTGGTTCCAGTCGGACACAGAGTAAGGGTAAGATAAAGCAGGGTGGGGGTAAGAGGCAGTAAAATATTCGTGCCTTGATTTTGTGGGGTTATGAGGTTGCCCTGGCTGTGTGAGAGAAAGGGGGACATGACAGGTGTCTTGTTGGGATCTGTGGGGAAATGAAGTTGTCCAGGGTCACATGGGAGAGGGAGGAAAGGAGGTTGCCTTGGCTTAAATTTGTAGGATCATGAGGTTGTTCAGGCTCAGCCTGGCGGGGTGGGGGTCTAAAGAGGGGTCTGGGCTTGAGTTTGTGAAGAAATGGGTTTGTCCCAGCTCAGCATGGGGACCCTGAAGTCTCTGAATGTGGCACGCCATGTGGTATTGAAATTCAGGGTAGGGGGAACATGATGATGCCCAATCCAGACACAGATCGAAGGTTCCCCAGTTCTCAAGAAGGAGAGGACACGACATGAGTTTGGGGGGACGTTACGAAGGCATGTAGGAAATTGTTCAACTACCAAGTGCGAGGGCCACAGACTATACAGGCTGGATGTAGGGAGTCAGAAGGTGTCCAAGTTCATGGTGAGGGCGGCAGGAACTTGGCTGGGAGCTGGCCGGGTGAAAAGGAAGTTGTTTGGGATGGGTGACCCGAGTTTGTCCAGCCTTCCGGCACAGGCTGCGTAGACTCCAGAGAGAAATAGCGGGAGGTTGTCCGGGTCCGTGGTGGACGTGGTGGGAGAGACTTGAGGTTGTGCAGGCTTTGAGTGGGAAGTTGTCCAGGTTCCCCACGAGAGGACGGCTCAGCACTGGCTGAAGGGACCCAAGGTGGTCGTGCCAGAGTAAATGGCAGAAGGTTACTTCGGTCTTTCGTGGTGGGATATGAGGTGGTGCAGGCCTTTTACCATCATGTCCACCCCTGGCCAGAGCTGCCGATTCCTGACAACGCCAATGTCTTCTATGCAATGAGTCCAGCCGCCCCTAGAGACTTTGTGCTGCGGCGGAAGGACGGGGCCCGGCACACAGCTACCATCTCCTCGACCTGAGGGGGCCCTCTTCTCCCTCTAGGGGCCTGGTCCCTGCCACCATGGATGTGGGGAGAGGCCTCCTCTCCCAGAAAAGTCCCATTCCCCAATAAAGCCATTGTGCTCTGTACCGTGTGACCCCCACCCCCCATGCCCAACTCCGTCGAATGCCACTCCTGGTACTTGATTCTTATTCCAAAGCCATCAGCCCAAGAGTGGCCGGATGAAGAGTTTCATCCCATAAACATAGAAGGCAGGTGGGGCACGGATGGGGG